TCCATCTCTAAAGTAGAGGCAGATAAAATATAGAAACAGGTCAGTTAGAATATATAGATGTCATAACTCTGTATTATTTGTATTTTGAATTATTTTGTAGGTAAACTATAATATAACTTAGTAGTTAGTAATGATACCTCGTTGATTACTTAGTATCATGCAAAAAGAAGGTTTTGGTTATCAGAATCCACAACATTAATGGTTTCCTAAACAGATTACACATGTCGTGGAAAAGTCCTGTATCTTTCGATCAGTTCCGCGTTGATTATACAAATGAGGTCCATATTTACATATGTACCTGTGTGAATTAATACTCCGAATGAACACAGAGAATGAAATGAATTCCCGTCACTGCACTGTAACATTTTCCCAGGACCATGTATCACCTCAGCCCACCCCTACAGCTTCTTGAGTTTTGCTCAGGTTAGTATATGATGATACACCGTACACAAAGATACACTCCCAAAACTAATAGACTACAGAGTATTCCGTTGACTCTACATATGTCCTGAAATGCTAGGACTAGGAGTTTGTCACACAAAGATAAATCGCCAAGTCTGTGATCTTTCACCCGACTTCCTGTCAGGTTTTTAGTATTGAGACGTGACATGAATGCTGTAATTATTTTGATATTAGAAACACACACGCACTCGCGATAAAAAGCTATTTGAACATCTATTGTTCGCGATTTTTGTATCGTTTCTGACGGTATATTCTACCAATGCAATGTACGAATCGAAAAGTGACAGCTAATACATTGCATGCATGTATTCTCGTGAGTTTACGTGGCCACCCTCCCCATACACATACCACACACATTTCTAATTCATAACACAGCAAGTACGTACTAGGGAGCGTCAACGACAGTCAAAGGTCTTACCTGTCGGTTTATTGTGGTTTAGCTATCTCCAAGGCTTCTGGAATTCCGTACAAGCCGCTTCAGTTATTCGTATATGATACTAGTAGCAAATACGATGACGTCGCCGAAATGGCGAGCGAAGGGTGCAGAGGTGAAAGGTCACACACCTGATACTTCCTTGAGTGTACGAGTCAATCAACATATCGCCTTAGCCCAGCGCGTGCGGCATGTGATTTTGCGTGTATTAAATCGACTGTTTAATTATTTCACCTATTAGGAAAACCGGGTCGGGGGATTTGGCCATCAAAGCCTGTGTTCTTGAGATCCCAGGATTCGTGAATTATCTCAACTTATCTAACGCCATTGATACAAAATCCTCCCGCAAAAAAGAAGTAACCACAAAATGACTGTGGCACCGCCGCATTTATTCATTACTTAGCTATAGGTAAATCCACCAATGAAAAGTATACATACGGTAACGATTCATAGTTTTTCATACCTCTTTTAATGCAGCCTACATGGCCCTACATTGCAAACTTCAAATTTATTCATTCTTCAAATAAAATATATTTTATAAGTTTAGCGTAACACGGGGTGCAGAAGTATATACTATTCCCTGTACCAAATAGTCAAGAGATATACTACGTTTATAAAGCTGCTGAACATTGTATCACAAAACATTGATGAAAATGATCGTGTTTACATTTTCGATACACATGATGCTTCTAGTTTATTTTGATAAGTCATTTGTTAACATTTACTTGCATTCTAAAGGATCGTGTGCATTGTTGCTAGAATAATAAATTTATTTCCGCACACGCTTTTCCACCCGTATGTTTAACCATATGTTGGTCTAAATGATGTTTTCGGGTAGCAGAATAGTCACACTGGTCACATTTGTAAGGTTTCTCACCGGTGTGCTTTACCATGACGTGTTGGTCTACCTGAAATTTCTGTACAGCAGAATAGTCACACTGGTCACATTTGTAGGGTTTTTCTCCTGTATGTGTTTTCATGTGCCGAGAGAGGTTAGCTTGATAGGCCGTACTGTATCCGCACTCCCTACATATGTATGCATCATCACCAGTATGTTTAGCCATGTGTTTCTTCAAATAACGGCCATGTGCAGCGGAATAGTCACACTGGTCACATTTGTAAGGTTTCTCTCCTGTATGTTTTCTCTTGTGTCTTGTCAAGGAAAATCTTTCAGCTGTCCTGTAACCACACTCCTCGCACAGGAAGGGTTTTTCACCGGTGTGCGTTGTCATGACGTGTTGGTTTAAAGCATCTTTCCGTGTGGAAGAATAGTCACACTGGTCACACTTGTAGGGTTTCTCACCTGTATGATTTTTCATGTGTCGGGTTAGGTGAGACCTATTAGCCGTTCTGTATTCGCACTCAGTACACGCGTAGGGTTTTTCACCAGTGTGTTTTGTCATGACGTGTTGGTCTAAATGACTTTTCCGTGCTGCGGAATATTCGCACTGGTCACAGTTAAAGGGTTTCTCACCTGTGTGTTCAACCATAATGTGCCGGTCAACCTGGCCTTTTTGGGTTGCAGAGTAGTCGCACTGGTCACACTTGTAGGGTTTTTCGCCTGTATGTGTTTTCATGTGCCGGGATAAGTTAGCTGTATAAGCCGTACTGTATCCGCACTTCCCACACATGAAGGCTTTCTCGTCACTGTGTTTAGCCATATGTTGATCTAGATGAGATTTTCGAGCAGCAGAATAGTCACATTGGTCACATTTGTAGAGTTCTTCTCCGGTGTGTTTTTTCCTGTGGTAGGAAAGGAGGGAAACGTCAGTCGTCCTGTATCCGCAGTCCTTGCACATGTAAGGTTTCTCACCGGTGTGTTTAACCATGACGTGCTGGTCTAAACGGTCTTTCCGTGCTGCAGCATAGTCGCATTGGTCACACTTGTGCGGTTTCTCACCTGTATGTGTTTTCATGTGCTGGGATAGGTTAGGCCTATGAGCCGTTCTGAATCCGCACTCCCCACATACGTACGGTTTCTCACCGGTATGTGTTCTCATGTGTTTAAACAAGAGGTGTCTTTCTGCTGTTCGGTAGCCGCACTTCCAGCAAATGAATGCATGGGCTGCCCAGTTGTTGCCATCTTGTACTATACTGCTCTGTACAGATGTCTGTGGCAAGAACTCATCGTTAGACCAGGTACAGTTTATACCACACGTTTCCTTCTCTGGAAAGTCATTTTTCTCGTTCCGCTGATGTCCCATGTCTACTGTCTGGTTCCAACTGTTACTAGTATACACCTCGTTATTCCCAGGATACCAAGTTGGTAGGGTTACACTGAACGTTCCCTGTCCCTTGCTATACGTTTCCTGGCGTAGCACGTGGTCTTCTTCGCCCTGCCCCCACCCCGTGTCGTCTGACTCCTCTTTTATGTGCGTCTTGTTTGAAAGACAATCAGTTGGTAGTTTTTCATCGTACGTCTCCAGACATAGTGTGTCTTCTTCTTTGTCCTGTTGCCATCCCGTGTCTCCTGTGTCCTCCTCTTTGGTATGTGTCTCACTCGCAGTTTGCTCCATGACAACATTTATTACGGAAGCCACACATGTGAACTCGTCCATCTCTGAAATAGATGAAAATATAGGAAATACATAAATGATCAGGCGTAGAGGCTAATTTTTCTCTATTAGGAAATACTGAATAGGCGCGGACCTTACCTATAAAATGTGTTCTGTAAATTCAATATAGTTCAAATACCACGATACTTGTGTTAATTAAACACGTAGACAGAGATCTTCAGTGCGTTTGATCATGCCCATTCAAAAAGTCATGAAAATAGACATGGGAAGCCATGTCATTTGAAACAATTTCACCTTGATTATACAAACAGTGAGCGACTGTGTGTGTGTGTGTGTGTGTGTGTGTGTGTGTGTGTGTGTGTGTGTGTGTGTGTGTGTGTGTGAGTAAACAATGTTTACATTATATATGCACAGGAATCAGTTTTACCAGTATGCTTTAATCGACGTACATGCATTTGGAACAGCAGCACGCAAATATAGGTAAAGCCATTATGACTCTAGAAACTCTACGCATTATCCCTACACTGAAATTATTATTGAATCAGATATAATCCGTAACATATATCTATTTTTATGGAGGTTTGCTTGTTAATACTCAGAGAGCTCGAGGCACTGGAATATTCCAATGACCTCAGCCATGACCTGGAATACTAGGAGCTTGGCTTGTCAGAAAGATGAATCACGTAGTCTGCAATTCTCGACCCCACTTCCTGCCATGCCAGTTTCCCAGTTCTGCGACGTGACTAAAATGTGAAACTTTTCTTTCCAATACTTTTCATAAATGAACACAGATATCCACATAAAAATTGCCTCCTAAGATCTACCTCTAGAGGATACAGCATATTGATAAATTGTTTCTTACGGTAGCTGTTACATAATACATGCATATTTAACGTTGACGAGTATATAGCTACACTGCCCCCCCCCCTCTGCATAAATTTACGAACCCATATACCAATTTATCGCTAAACAAACACAGGATAGGAAGCGTATACGATAATAAAAGTTCTTACCTAACGGTTTACGGTGGTTAATGATCCTCTCCACTTCTGGGATTCCGTAAAATCGCGTCAGTTTGGAAGAGATTATCAAAGACGATGACGCCAACCAAAAAAAAAAGATGGCGGTGGTAAAGGGGCAAAGGTCACGAACCTGATACTCACTTGAGTGTTGGTCTATCACAGATTGTCGTATAACGCTTTTGGCTCGGCACTAAGTGCGATATATGGGTCTTACCTGTGGTATCGTGTGGAATAATCACTTAATGTGAATGCTGAATATGTAATATATATATAAGTTTTAGCATTAAACAAAGATTTATTAATGATTATTAACAATAAAAATAGACCAATTCATTATGCTACTTTGAATACATATCTTTTATTTGTAAACGCATACATATCTTTTATTTAAATAATATGGCAAAAAGCGGATGACGGTTGGCTAATTGGCATATGTCTTAATAATTTATATGTATGGTGTAAACAAGACAGCAATCGCTCGTATTGTTTGGTTAATATAAATAGAATGTCTCTTCTGTAACAATTGGATTCTTGTTCCATGTTATAAACACTTTTACATTATCTTGACTGACTGAGCCTGTTTCAGAAATTATCATGTAAACTGATCACTTGGCCGGGGATATGATGATGCTATGATGACTGGAAATCACTTGCTCATTTCAATTGAATACAATTATTCAACTGTCTTAGCGAGGTTTTTCTTCCATTCAAACTGACAGCTAGTTCTATCATGATCAATTGTTATCTCTCCATACACTAATAGGCAGTCAAACATCCGTAATCCTTTCAAATACAGGTTTCTAGAATAGTCGCACTAGTTACATTGTATGTTCTCTCCTGTATGCTTTTTCATGTGTCTTGTTAGGTGAGACCTATTAGCCGTTCTGTATTCGCACTCCTCACACTTGTAGGGTTTTTCACCGGTATGTTTTACCATGACATGTTGTTCTAAATGGGCTTTCCGTCCTGCAGAATAGTCGCATTGGTCACATTTGAAGGGTTTTTCACCTGTATGATTGTTCATGTGTCTGGTTAGGGTAGACCTGTTAGCCGTTCTGTATCCGCACTCATCACACATGTAGGGTTTCTCGCCGGTGTGCTTTGTCATAATGTGTTGGTCTAAATGGGCTTTCTGTGTTGCAGAATATTCACACAGCTCACATTTGTGCGGTTTTTCGCCGTGTGTTTTCATGTGCCGGGATAGGTTAGAGGTATAAGGCGTGCTGTAACCGCACTCCCCACACACGTAAGGTTTCTCGCCGGTGTGTTTTACCATAACGTGTTGATCGACTTGAAATTTCTGTACGGCAGAATAGTCACACTGGTCACATTTGTATGGTTTGTCGCCTGCACGTGATTTCATGTGCCAGGATAGCACCTTATAATCCATTTCCACCCCCGCTTGCTCACCAGCATGTCCATGTTTAATCATATGTTGGTTTAGGTGATGTTGTCGAGTGGCAGAGTAATCACACTGGTCACATTTGTAGGGTTTCTCGTCTGTGTGTGTTTTCATGTGCTGGGTGAGGCCATCCTTATAAGCCGTTCTATACCCACAATCTCCGCACGCGTAGGGTTTCTCACCGGTGTGTTTTGCCATGACGTGTTGGTCGACCTGAAATTTCTGCACGGCAGAATAGTCACACTGGTCGCATTTGTATGGTTTTTCACCTGTATGTGTTTTCATGTGCCGGGTCAGGTTAGCCTGATAGGCCGTACTGTATCCGCACTTCCCACACATGTAGGCTTTCTCGTCACTATGTTTAGCCATATGTTGGTCCAAATGGGACTTACGAGCAGCGGAATAGTCACATTGGTCACATTTGTAGAGTTCTTCACCGGTGTGTTTTTTCCTGTGGTAGGATAGAAGCGAAAATTCTGCCGTTTTGAATCCGCAGTCCTCGCACACGTAGGGTTTCTCGCCAGTGTGTTTTATCATGACGTGCTGGTCTAATCGGCCTTTCCGTGCTGCGGAGTAGTCACACTGGTCACACTTGTAGGGTTTCTCACCTGTATGTGTTTTCATGTGCCGGGATAAGCTAAACCTATGGGCCGTACTATAGCCGCACTCCCCGCACACAAAGGGTTTCTCATCGGTATGAGTTTTCATATGTCTTAACAAGAGATGTCTTTCTGTCGCTCTATAACCGCACTTCCAGCAAATGTAAGTATGCGTTGCCACTTGGCTGTCCTCCTGTGCTGCACTGCTCTGCAAAGTTATCTGTGGCAAGACTTCTTCGTTAGACCCGGTGTGGTTTACACCGAACATTTCGTGATCAGAAAACTCATTTTCCTCGTCCTGCTGCTCCCAACTGTTTCCTGTTTTCTGTTGGTTTTCACTGTACGAGTCAGGTACTAGATTATTTTCTTGTTTGTCCTGCTGCCATTCAGTGCTTCCCGGTATGTCTTCTTCTTCTTTGATGCCCATCTCCTTCAAAGGGTAACTTGGTAGCCTTACGCCGTGCGTTTCCTGACATTTACTGTATGATTCCTGGCACGGTAAGTCCTCATCATTGTCCTGCTGCGATCCGGTATCTCCTGTGTCCTCCTCTTTGATGTGTGTCACGTTCCCAAAGTATCCAGTTGGTAGGTTTGCGCTGTATGCTTCCTGGTGTGACACGTCTTCTTCTTTGTCTTGTTGCCATTGCGTGTCTTCTGTTTCTTCCTCTTTGATGTGTGTCACGTCCAATTGTTCGGCACGAAGCTTTTTAACTGGAGGTCCACATGTGGACTCGTCCATCTCTAAAATAGAAAGAAAACAATTAGATGCTAATTCCACGCATTTGCCTTACACATTCAGAACCCCGGACACCAGCCTACCAAGGTTGGCTAGTGTTAGAGCGTTAGCCTCCTTCGCAGACTTGTTGGGCGGCGGCATTTTTTTTTTCGGTGAGCGACGCGAGTTATGCCGCGGAGGGACGATTTTGCCGCCGAAGGAGTTTTTGCCATGTAGCGGAAAACCTTCTCTCCATGGCAAAAACTCCCTCACCTCCCAACAAGTCTGCGAAGGAGGCTAGGCTAGTGTTGGGGAGTCCATATTAGGCTAAGTGTGAGGCCTCGACCCAACCCCTCCATTTTGCTCCTTGGGGCTTTACCGGTCAGACATATGAGGATATACTCGCACAGACACACAAAAAAACTCAGCTCAGCTCAGTCTTCCGTCCACTGTACATAAACTGGAACGCTACGAACTTTGTCATTACAAGCTTGCTTAGTGACGAATCACCGAGTGTGCGATCTTTGACCCTGCTTCCTATCAACTTCCCAGTGCTACGTGACCGGAATGGGGTGTTCCAAAATACACGTGGAGGGGCGTGTCACATAATAGCAATGTCCAAAATCATATTTTGTGTCACTATTCTACCTTACTTCCAATCAAGATTTCCTCAATCCCTGTCGCCTATCCTTGTGTCAATCCGGTATTGCTCAAAGTCAAACCCCGCCCTAGTTCCAATCTGGATTTGTTCAAACCCTAACGTTACCTGCTGGTGCCAAAGGCTAATCAACATGAAGATTTGCTCAAACAGTGCGTACCCTTATGATAACAGTTAACCCTATCTAGACCGGGGGGGGGGCTAAAAGTGCCCGCGGCAACTTTGATGTCACATAGCGTCTAAACGGCTAAAGCTAGAACCGCCAAACTTGGTGACTTTTCCTAAAATATTGTTGGCAACAAATCTGTATCAGTGGAATAAGATTATGATTTTTCTTGTTGCCATGGCAACGGGTTTCTGACAGGCATTTTTTGCCAAATATAATAATTTCCATTTAAAGAACAGAATTTTATGGGTTTTATGTCCAGTTACACATTGTTTCTAATATTAATAACATCACATATAATTATATGTAAATTTCATCATTAAAAATGCATAATTTATGCTAATTTGATGACGTCATTGGCCGAAATCCAAGATGGCGGACCATATCAGTAGATCAGGTAAATACAGCTTATTTTCCTTAAAATTTTATCAATACTCCCATTTCTTTTTACAAAAAAGGTTCATATGAACGTCTTTAGTCTGTTTATAATGTATTTTAGGCTTTATCCTGAAAAAAACTATTTTTCAAAATTCAAGATTGATGATCCAAGATGGCGGATAGGTAATATATGCATGACGTCATTTTATGACGTCACCGGTGTTGCTATGGGTAACATAAGACTTAGTACATCCTAATATTCTGTCATAAACACTTTTGGTAAAGTTATGTCGTATACTGTTTAGTTTTCAGCGAATAACCTATCTAGACGGTTTTGGCCAATAAAATCACATTTATGACGTCATAATGACGTCATATTAGGTCACAACAACATAAAAATTGTACATATGATAAATTTTAACTAGTACACCATCCTCTGAAAATTTGGTGGTCCTACGATATTCCGTTCGCGAGTTCTGAGGGGGGGGCCGAATGAGCCCCCCCCCGGTCAAATCTTGCTCAAAAAAGCCCGGTCTAGATAGGGTTAAACTTTATGTGACCAACACAAAGTAAATTGGGACTTACCCCAAATTTTCGTACCCTTTTAGCTCATTAGGCTCATTAGCAGGTTGCGCATACACATATTAGTTCTAAATTAATCAAGGTTTGTTCAAACACAATCCTCCACCACATTTGATTTTAAGTCTCCTTGCCTAAACCTAGTTTTAACCAAACCGAGCACTTCATAATTTTTTTGAACCAGCTCAATTAGCTCAATATAGTACTAGTATGCGGAAGGTTTGTTTTTCTTTTGACAAAGCAGCACACAAGTTAGAACTAGAACATAGCCATACAGGATACAAAAGTATATTGTTCACAATTTTTTTTTAATCGTTTCTGGAGACAAATTCATGGTGCAAATCGACATTTGTCTGCTGATAGATACATTTCCGCGCATATACTGTTACACAGCCCCCCTCCCCATCAAAAATACCGATCCAAACACACTTTTAATTCTAATTTATCGCTGCACTAACACTCACTAAGAAGTGTTTATGATAACCAGAGGCCTTACCTGTTAGTTGATGCCGGTTAGCTGTTTCTATGACTTCTAATTGTCGGTAAAATCGCGTCAGTTCGTCGGAGATAAATTACAGCGAAGACGATGACGCCAACTAAAATGACGACAAGCTGGTCAAAGGTCAGAGGTTAAAAACCTGATTACAAGTCAAGGATCGCGATCATAATCTTGTGCTACCGTTGTTTTCAGCCTTAAGGCCAGAGCAAATAATTTTATGGATGACATCAGAGAGATCATTGATTTTCGCCTGATTTTGGAAAAAAAAGAGGGAATTTTGTTGCCCTCTGACACTGTTCAATCTGCCGAAAATGGGCAAAGATGTCTTTTGCTGGAACGTGGATGGTAGATAAATATGAAGAGAGGACACAAGACACATAAAACACTTTCGTAAGAATTTTACCTGTATAATTTACACTGAAGTATTAGTAATCTTACCACGATTTAATTATTTGCCTATTACATGTATTTGGCTATTCACAAAATCGATATATCAATGCATATATTTTTTTTAGCAAAAACATATCCTAAAATGCCGTTGAGCTGTTTTATATATATTCACGTATTAAACCATCGGAGAGTGCATATTAAGAACTATACACAGGTAATTATATATGTCAATACATAAAGCATATTGATGCTTATTTGAAAAATTCGGATTACATTTTGTAGCAGGGCAGAGCTGGCCATGTTATACATGTATTATATATAAACGTTTGGGTAACAATAACCAGAGCAGTAGTTTCTTAGGCTTTAGGACCATGTAAAGGTACACATAATACATTTGTTTGCAAATATTACCTTTCTAGTTCTTTTTTCGATATAGGTTCAAACATTTAGTAGGTCCTTTACACATGTAGAGTTACTCATTGTTGTGTTTTACAAGGAAGTGTTGCTCTACGTCAGACTTCTGTGCACCATAATAGTCAAATTGATCAGATTTGTAAGTTTTTTCACCCGTATGTTTTCTCTTATGTAGTGTTAGGTTCCAACTTTTACCAGTCCTGTATCCGCACTCCTCACACATGTAGGGTTTCTCTCCCGTGTGTGTTCTCTTATGTTGGGATAAAGCAGACCTGTCAGCCGTCCTGTACCCACATTCCCCACACATGTAGGGTTTCTCACCGGTATGTTTTATCATGACATGTTTGTCCAAATGGCCTTTCTGTGCAGCAGAGTAGTCACATCGGTCACATTTGTAGGGTTTTTCACCTGTGTGTGTTTTCATGTGCCGGGATAGGTGGGACTTAACAGCCGTTCTATATGCACAGTCTGTGCACGCGTAGGGTTTCTCACCGGTATGTTTAATCATCACATGTTGGTCTAAATCACGTCTACCTGGAGCAGAGTAGTCACACTGGTCACACTTAAAAGACCTCTTCTCCTCTTTCGATGTTGTCTTTTGTTGGGATCGCTGTTGTCTATCAAATCCGAAATGTTCATACAAGTAGGGGTATTCACCTGTGTTTTTACAGTGTTGACATTCTAGGTTCGTTGCATGTGCAACAGAACTGTCGCACTGGTCACATTTGTTTTGTTTCTCAATTAGGTGGGTCTTCTTATGTCGGGACAAGGCGGCACTAAAAGCCGTCCTGTACCCACACTCCTCACATATGTGGGGTTTCTCGTCGGTGTGTTTTGTTATGACGTGTTCGTCTAAACGGCCTTTCTGTGCAGCAGAATAGTCGCACTGGTCGCATTTGAAAGGTTTTGCACCTGTATGCGTTTTTAAATGCCGGGATAGACCCGACTTAAAAGCAGTCCTATATCCGCACTCGCCACACCTGTAGGGTTTCTCACCGGTGTGTTTAGCCTTATGACTTTTGAGGTTGCTTCTAACAGCTGTACAATAGTCGCACTGGTCACATTTATAAGGTTTGTCACCGGTATGTTGTCTCATATGCATGGTGAGGTAAGCTTTATGGGCCGTTCTGAATCCACACTCCCCACACATGTGCGGCTTCTCACCGGTATGTTTTCTCAGGACGTGGTCGTCCACTTGAGATTTCTGTGCAGCAGAATAGTCACACTGGTCACATTTGTAGGGTTTCCCACCGCTATGTTGTCTCATATGCTTGAACATGAGACTTCTTTCTGCTGCTCGGTAGCCGCACTTCCAACAAATGAATGTATGTTCTGCCACATGACTGCCCTCCTGTATTGTGCTGCCCTCCTGTATTGTGCTGCCCTGTAAAGTTGTCTGTGGCGAGACTTCTTGGTCTGACCCTGTATGGTTTACCTTGAAATCATCGCCCTGCTGCCATTCCGAGTCTTCTTTCTCCTCTTTAATGTGCACCTCATTCCTAAGACATTCAGTTGGCAGTTCCACCTCACACGTTTCTTCGGTCAGAACGTCCTGCTGCCGTCCTGTGCCTGCTGTCTGCTCCCCACCGGTGTGAGTTACGTTAAAAGGATAACAGGTTAGTCTGAGGTTTACGCCGTACGTTTCCTGATCTTCACTATACGTTTCTCCAAGGGGGTTAATAACAAGATTTTGATTATCAACCCCCTTGGTTTCTCTTACGCCCTCCTGTTCCTCCTGTTGCCATCCCGTGTCTTCTGTTTTCTCCTCTTTGATGTTTGTCTCGTTTGCTGCTTGTTCCACTTGAGGCTCTTTAACGGGACGCCCGCATGTCAACTCGTCCATCTCTACAATAAAAAAAAAAGCAGGGAATATATTTGAAACAGATGAACTTCATTCAGGAAGCCGATGGCAATTCGTTGATCAGATACACCTTTGACCCAGTGTTCAGGCGTCACACTTCAGAGAAGCCACGTGACAAGTCTCACTGGGTCAGTCTTCTGAGGACACAACAGAAGACCAGAGTAACTGATGGAAAGTTAGTTGAGAACAGTTCTCTCTTGTGTTGGTAGGTTGGAATAACAGTTTTAACAAATGAAAAGGCGGAAAAGGGTGCTAATCATGAATAATATATGGAATTCTTCCTATTAAAACATTGGACCAGATATAAGCTTGGTCCCTAGAGGATCAACAATAGTTACAATATCTTATATTTCCGGGAAATATCCTATTGCGCAATGTCGACGCTTAACACTCAGAAAGACACACCTAAAGCTATTATAGACTCTTCCATTGACCCCACAAATAACCTAGTAGAATGTTTAGCTTTAAGGCCCTGTCACCACAAACTCAGCTCCAAACAAATCACGGATGTCACCAAGCCTGCGATCTTTGACCCGACTTCCTTCCCGTTTTCCGGTGCGACGTGACTAGAATGTGGTCGGACTTTCTTTCTCAAGTTACTTAAGCCAATAATAAAAACAAATTCCACCAGACGACACGACGATATTTATAATAATAACAGGGGTTTTCCAAAATCTGTTCTCAGAGAGTACAACAACAAATTCATCGTGATTTTTTGTATCGTTTCTGATAGTATATCTAAGGTGTTTATACTGAACAATATTGTTATTGAACAGTATTGGTGTGCATTCAATGTTTGGGATGTTACAAGAAATACATGTGGCCTGGAGGGGGTGGAAGATCCGGTAGAGAATTCCGGATACTAAAGTAGGTTGGAGCAAATCTTGTTTGGAATTAGGGAAGGGTTACCAAAAAAATCTGGATTATTAGAACTAGAATAGGAGCAAAAGCTGATTTGAATTTAAACCTCTTGAACACACCCCCACCTTAGTTATATTTGGAACTGCCCAAAAGCCGACCGCTCCCCATTCAAAGTACCGATCCTAAACACACCTCTCGCTGAACAAGCTCACGCCAAGATGACAATCAAAGGTCTTACCTATCGGTTAAGGTGGACAGAGATCTCGACTACTTCTAGAATTCCGTAAAAATCGAGTCAGTTCTTTGGAGATCTGACACGGAAGACGATGACGTCACCCAAAATGGAGGGCAAGCAGGTAACCAACGGGGCAAAGGTGAGAGGTCACTAACCTGATACTCCACTGAGTCAAACAGCAGATCGCCGCATAACGAACGCTATATCTTGGCAGGTTCTTCTGTGGTGGATTTTATCATTAGGCGATAGCAAGTAGATTTTATGGATGACATCAGCGCGCGCATTAATTTTCGCCTGATTTTAGTGAAAAAAAATTTTGTTGCCCTCTGACAACACGCACGCGCACTTGTACACACACACACACTGACACACACATACACATGCACATGCACACACGCACACGCACACGCACACACACACACACACACACACACACACATACACATACACATGCACACACGCACACACATGCTCACACACGCGCGCGCACACAAAGTTAAGGCATACAGGCACATGGTCGGAAACAACATCTTGACGAATTCGTGGGTAATAATATTAATACGTCCATTTTTCTTGGAGGTAATAAGGCGTAAGTTGGTCCAAATATATGTTTTCACAAATATAACACCTTACAATAATGAATTTTTAACTTTAGAGTTCATCAATGATCTTCCTAGTTTTCAGTATAGTTTTAGTCACCTTTATAGACGAAATAGAACAGTCCACATTTCCTTTTTTTCCGCTTCACTGCCCTCGAGCGTTAAGTAAGTGGGCGGGAGAAAAGTTGCCATGAGTGTACTCACCCACCGAGGCAAGTGGTATAATCACCACGTTCAGCACTACTGAGCAGAGCCGCGGATCGGCAGCCGTCGTTTGAACCCCAGAAAGTGGCCGACATGTGGAGTCGGGAGGCTGCCCTAGCCGTGGCGATTCTGTGTGGGACAGTGCGCGGTGGATTCGGAGAAGCGGGTAGGTTGAACGCCTGACTGCACCGGTTCACAGAACGTGTTGTCTACAAACGTTGTTTTAAAATGTGTCACTAACCGGTTGGACGTCCTACGTTCTTCTTAATATTTCAGGGGTTCGTATTGGCGTCCCAAAAGTGGGTCGAGCACTGTTTTGGGTCTAAAACTTGCGAGTTTGGCTACAGAAAAGCCTGGACTGGCTTCATGATAATGAACACTAGTCCGTGACTTGGATTTAAAATGGGTGGTGCCACGCATTGTAAAGGGATTATTTAGTATTTTCTATAGGCGTAGTTACATTCCGTGACTGTCCAGTTTACTCGTACAATTTTAAGAAAGTCTATGGCAGAGCGGACGTTCGTCCACAAGGATATATATTACTGTAACATGTTCTGTCTTGAAACATCTGCTTTTTGGCGACGTGCACATCCGCGAATGACTCAAGAATTCCTTGACTTTGCTGTCAGTGAGTCTCTAAGGTTCGAGGAATGTGGCCGCGGGGGGAAAGATTAGCAGCCTGAGCCCCGCGCCATCTTGTTCTTAACTATGGTCACGATCTGTAACGTGACACCCATTGATCGTCAAGTTCTTGTTGTTGATGTGTCTAAAATAATTCAATTCAGTTTCATTTCTATCATTTTACCTCCTTTTCAAGCATCTCAGCGTTCGTCTGTTAGACTTTGATGCGTTAACTTCTTTTAGACTTTTGTGCATAACACAGTGGCGAGTATAAACATCCAAATATTTGTGTTCAAACAAATATTTGTGTTCATAATATTGACGGGGAAGGCGCCAATGCTGTACTGTGTCAATAAGGTAAAGTCACTGACAGTGATGATGTAAACACAGTTTCTGTTATATGTCACATTCGTCGTAAGTTATGAACGGTTTTGTAGTTTCAAGCAGACAACGACAAAACCAGTCACGAACAGGCATGTAGAATTCAAACAACGTTTTTCTTAGTACAAAGACAGCTGAATTATTTGCGATACCTTCACGAATATCCCAAGAATGCTTTTAGTTTGCGATGGTGCGACGAATGTGCACTACCTGTATACACACTGACATACGATATATAATAATCAATTGAACTGCATCGGTTGTGACAGATTGGTGAAAGAAAAACCGTGCACTCAAGTACGTTTACAAGTACCACAAGTGTTTGCGTCAAGCTTTTGTTAGAAGCTACCCGTGCCAGGCTTAACAATTTGCTAAAGAAACAATCCACGGCAGCGCTTTTCTCAAAATCAATCAATCGTCCGTAGGTTTCATGGCAGACGCACGGCGGCCGTGGACAGTTGTTCAAAATCAGTAGAGCGAATTCAACGATGACACAAACTGTTCCCGTTTTAGTAACTAAGGGACCGAACAATTGATGGAGTAACAACTTTATTTCTGCATGAACTGTCTTTTATGATGTTTATTTTCTTTTTGTAAAATACACGTTGAGCGCTTTATATCAAGTAGATTATACATAGTACGTTGACCTTAAACATGTACATTTTACATGCCACCTTTCGTAAAGTATTCATTTACCGTTTATACCTATCACGAATGGCATTATGCACAGTGTTACTACATTGCTAAATCTAGGATTTGATTTAGCTTAAATCACTCACGCATTCACTCTCGTCCCGTGGCATCAGAGGTCGTAGCTTAAATGCACAACACGCAAGGTAAAAATATTAGAACAAATTCCCACATACATGTAATTACTAACTGACATGAAACCTTAGTAGCCCGCATTCCCTTATTGTCAGCTAAGCTCTATAGCGGCAAAGGTTTTGTTCCATTGCCAACGTGTGGGTGTGGGTGTGTTTCAAACGGTTAACATGATTTGGCGAAGGTATGAGGTGGAGCTATTGCTTGTGATTGTCACTTTATATATCATACTTTTCGTCCCTAGAAACTGCCCGGCCTGGCCCTGGGTTGGGAATTATGACCTTAGCATAATGTCAAATATTGTGATTTTATCTAGAGAGTGCTACATCCCGTAACAAGCCCGACATCCTACGTCTGCACGAAGATCTGTTTGAGACGAGCGGCTACAACTCTAACGTCCGCCCCGTGCGGGACTACAGACGACCCATCAACGTCACGCTCGACCTGGCGCTGGCTCACATCATAGACCTGGTGAGGCCGCCCTCTCTTTTTTTTTTTTCTTTATTAAAACATTTAGGAACAAAGTGGACAGGATGACGACACACTCAAGCCGGAGCTTATGTTCATGTCGCCATCTAACATTACAAAAATACAGAAGCAAATGCAAAAACAGACATGCAAAGCTTAATAATAACAGAATAGAATAAATAAGGTTACAATGTATAAAGTACTCCAGGCAAAACTTACAAAATTGATAGGAAAGATTTACTCAAATCTTTTAGTTTCCTTTATAAATGATTGAACATAAAGTAAAAATTTAAAGTTATTTGGATATGATAGTGATACAGAACCTCTAAGGAATAAATGAACTAAAACGTCATCAGAAAGATCATTGAGGTTTATGTCAAATCCTACCAACTTAGCTAAATTGCTAAAAAGGGAGGCACGATATTGTGTATATTTAGGGCAGTACAAAAAATAATGCTGGATACTTTCAATGGGATGGCCACAGGTACATGCAGGACTGGTTGCCAGACAACGTGTGTACAAATTTGAGTTTAAATTATAAGTGCCCAGACGAAGACGAGTGAGAAGAGCGCAAGTGTACCGAGGGCCTATGCTAAAATATGGAACAGGGGCAGGGCGCACAGATTTAATGATTTTCTTCTTAAAACAAGGGAGACTTAGTGAGCGGTCTGCCATGTCTCCCTCTCTTGAGGGAAGTAGTTAATATGATGTAGTCTTGTTTGTGGTATGTGAATGTGTATAGTGAATATGACGTAGTCTTTGTTTGTTTCGCATAACCGGTAAACTGCCTTTGGGCGTAACCCCTTTTGTTCATGTATTAATAAAAGCTGCGTAAGACCGGACTGTAACACTACACGAAACGTTGGATTTACCAAACGTAGTAAAATTCAGGTAAAGTTTACTTTGTATACAGTATCTAGCTTTACTATCATGATAGTAAGAAAAGGTCAAGTCAGGAAATTTCATTTACAACCGTTGTTAACCGGAATCACCATATTTATTTTGTTCATTTATTACCACTGTAAAGTCAAGTACGAGTAGTGTTTATCAATTAAACAAAACAGAGTAAACATTACTCAGATTTACTGGTATTTACTGCAGTTGGTAAATCTAAGTTTTTGTGCAGTGTAAGAATTGAACCACTCACACCGGGAAGGTCCCCGCTGTGTCCCACGACGCGTGTCCCAAACCGTGCCTGGGGCAAGGCCCATTCCGTGCTGGGGGGGGGGG